CATGCCCCTTCTTGCCATGGCTCTGTCGTCCAGCCTTTATAGGATAGCTCAAGTGCTCCACTACTGGAGGCCATGGCTGGGGTGGGGCCAGGTGAAACTGGCCTGAATTCCCCAGCGGTCGACAGTCGTATTTACAGAGCTCCGAGTAGGACATAATTGCTTCTATTAATCTTTCTCCGGTTGTTAATTGCTCACTTATCGGGTTGTGTATTATGCCGACTGTTGCTCTTAATTCGCCTCCATAGCTGCAGGTGTTTGCTGCCTTATTAACTGTTAATCGGCGCAGCTAGGGATAGCGACTTAATTGGCCCCTAGAGTGGGACACAGGCGGGCCAGCCGGGCACTACCAGGCTCTCAGCCCGTCCCTGGAACTCTCACCTGTGGGGCACAGGTGGCTGGCTACAGGGAAAGGGCCGGTGTGCCGCCAGCAGAGTGTTGTAGTCCTGTATACAGCGGTCGGAATGACAACTACAAAGTACTGTCCCCATATAGTCCCTACTCCTCCCAGAAGCCAACTGGCCAATCAGAGTCAAGCTCCTATGCCTTTCTCTATCACCAACAAGCATATTCTTCTACCCAAGACAGGAAGCAATCCCATTTATTTTAATTAAGCCTAATGAGAGCCATCCCGGCACAGAATGGAACTGGGTTTTGCCCTTTAATGCCCCTTCTGCCTCCTTGTGGCTCTAGCAGTCGAGACTGTTAAGGTTAGAAGAACACTGCGAGAGAGAAAGGCAAGAAAGAGAGACTCTCCCAGAACACGAAGAGCAGAAACCAGACCCAGCAGGGACTCCCCACCTTTCAAGGAAGCAGCTTCCAGGAAGTTCTGTTCCACCCCAGCCACACTTCTGCTTGCATAGTCCCAAGACTGGGGAACTCACTCCCTGCACCGCTGCTGCAGGGCGAACCGGCTCTTCATTCTCCCGTCCCAGCTGTGTTGTAGCAGAGACTCCCAAGTGTCCTCAGTGGGGAAACTGAGGTCCAAGAAGGGCAAGGGAGTTACCCCCAGAGCTCTTCAGTCCTCTCTGGTGAAAGCTCAGACATGCAACTCTCTGAACAAAATTCTTGCTCTCCTTCCCTCTACCCCATCACACGCCTCTCAGTCTGGCCTCCCAGTCAACTGCTGCTGCAGCAGCTGCTGCAGGAATACAAGGGCTCCTGATTCAGGGAACTCCTTGAGAGCAAGAGGGGAGTGGGAGGCCAGGGTCCATGGTACACCAACCTGACTTGACCAACAGCTCTCATCCCATGCCTGGAATCCAGGCTGCCCTGACACATGGAAGTGTCTGCCGTGTCTGGAGCTGAAAAGGAAGTTCCATTGCTTTTTCTGGGTTCTGAGTAGATGGAACTGGGTTCTAAAGAGGTGGGGAACAACCATATTCTGCCTACTGTCTGTCCATCAGCACATCAACGAGTATGTGTCAAAGTGGCACTGGCATGCCTCGAACCTTCACATAACCTAGTGAGTTAGAGATTAGTATGCCTATTTGCAGAGAAGGAAACTGAGTCACAGAGAAGGGCACCAACCTAAGACGACACATTTAAGAAAGGCACAAGTGGGGTCCAACAAGTCTCAGGAAACTGAGTCTTCCGTTAGGACGTTTCCGTAAGGGCATGAGCGGACCAGAGCTGATGGTCACTGTCAGAAGTCTCCCACCCACCTCAAAACCGAGAACACGGAGAAACACACACACACAAAAAGAAACACCCACAAACCACTCACGCATGCGCAGTCCAGGTGGCCATCCGACGGGATGAAAGCAAACCGAGGGGAACTGTCCAGGGATAGTTGCCCAAACAAGTTCCGGCTCCGCCTCTATGTTAATGACATGCAGATATATGTAAATTTGCACACGCAACTGCTTAAACCTTTGGGAGCAATAGGGTGACACGGGAGCAGTTGCTATGGAAATTCAAAAGAGACACCCCTCCACGGCCCCCCCCCACCCCGCACCAGCAGGCGCACAGACACGTGTACAAAGACCCAGGGTTCCTCGCTCTGGAGCCCAGAGGATCACGGAGTAACAGAGGGTGTGAACCGGAAGGAACCCCGGAGACTGCGCCCAGCCTGGGGGTGCCAACGCCGGTCCTGGTTGGGGGCGGGCGGTGTCCGCTAAAACCCTTTGGGCAGCAGGCGACTCCTTCTCGGCCTAGCAACTAGGGCCCCCGCCCGGCGTTGCATAGCAACATTCCTAGAACCTAGCAACCGCCGATCACACCCCCTAGCAACGTCATGCCAAGCTGCGTTCCTGGTCCCTGTCAAGAGATAAGCAAAGAGCTTGTGAACTAGGAGCAGAAGGTGGATGAGGGTCATGTGTCCAGCCCCCATCCCGAGGCAGGATACAGAGTTTCGGGGTCTGTCTGTCTATCTATATCCCACTTCCCGGGGGCGAGTTATCAGAAGGCCGCGTTGGCATCCCCACCTAGGAAAGGGCAAACTGAAGCTCTAAAGGCAGGCCCCTGCGGAGGGCAAAGGCTAGCTCTTCTCCGATGCCTCTCCAGTCTCCCGAAAAGAAAGCTGCGGCCAGTGAGAGGCGTGCGCCGCGGCGTCCCCAACCCCGCAGCGTTAGGAAAGCCACCCAAGTTGCAGGCTCCAAGAGGAGCTGCAGGTTTGCATAGTAATTGACAAAATTTGCATTTAGCGCTGAAGCTGCGGCATTCCCGTGCCCTCTGAGCCAGAGGAGTTCCCTCAAGAGCCCCGTTCCTTTCCCTGGTTCACCTATCCAGAACCTTTTCCCTGCTCCCACTTACAATCCACCCTCGCCCACCACCCCCGCTTCCAACTCCTCCTTCCATTTTTCTCTCACCCCTCCCCACCCCCAGCTCAGCTTCGGTCCTGCCAACCCCGACCTCCATCCCAAGGCAGAGGGCCCCCTCTGCTGTCGGCTGGGGGTAGGGCAGCCGCAGAGCTCTTGGGGTAGAAAGAGGGGCACCTCTTATTAATCATCTCCTCTCCCTTTCCAGCCCAGCAGGCTCCTGAATGAGGCATGCTTCGGATGCTGCAGCGAAGGGCGGTGTCCTGGGTGAATCAGTCTGGGGCAGCTAGTTCCCAAGTCAGTGCCCAGACTCACAGCTGCTATGAGAAGCTCACTCCGGATCGAAGGCAGGGCAGCCGTCACGCCACAATACCACCTCACCAGGATTGAATGTCTTCCCAGGCCTAGACCCTGGCTGTCTCTGGGAGTTGGAAGGACCTGCACAAAGCAGTCCCCTTTAACAGAGACCCACACAGAGACCTGTAGACACAAGCCTGCACTGAGAGGCCCTCGCCAGTGTACATGGACACAGACATGTAGGAAACAAGATGGTACTGTGTGCCATCCCTCGGCTTATTCCAAAAGAAAAATGGACATCAGAAATGTAAAATCACTCCTGGAGCTGGAGAGAAGGCCCGGATGGCTCAGAGCCTATTAACCCTAGCATTAGAGGCAGGGGGATAACAGCTATCTAATTTCCAAAGCTCGCTGGTAACCTAGCCAAAATGGTGAGCTTACGGTTCAGGGAGAGATCCTGTCTCAAAGTGAGGACAGGGAGAGGGGAGGACGCCAAAGCTCTGCTCTGACCTCCGTGGCTCACGGATACGCTCGCACACCGTAACTAAATGAACAGCACCCCTTTCCTTTTCCTAACGAACACCTCTACCTCCTTGGACCCTCTGTCTGTCAGTTTCTCCTCCAACCCCAGTCTGTCTTCTCTCCCAATACGGACTCTTTCCCTTAATTCAGATTTTTTTTTTTTGAGACAGTGTTTTAGCCAGGGTTCTCTAGAGGTACAGAACTTATAGAATGAATATATATGAATATATATACATATACATATGAATATATACATACATATTTATTAGAGCGACTTCCAAGCTGTGGCCCAGCTAGTCTAACAACAGCTGCCTAACAATGCAGAGTCCAGGAATCTAGTCGTTGCTCACTCTACCAGGCGAGGGGATGTCTCAGCTGGTCTTCAGTACATGCCGAATCTCTAAGAAGTAGGCTCTAATGCCAGTGAAGGAAGGGACTCACTAGTGAGAGTAAGCAGGCAGAGAGCAAACTTCCTTTTTCCACATCCTTTACATAGCCTGGTGTGGCCCAGATTAAAGATCTTCTACCACAAAGATCCAGATTGGAAGTGGGTCTTCCCACTTCAAACGATTTTATTAATAAAAAAAAAAATTCCTCATAAAGTGTGCTCAGCCGTTTGGATTTTAGTTAATTCCAGATGCGATCAAGCTGAGAGGCAAGAATAGCCATCATGGGTTGGGCAGTGGTGCACACCTTTAACCCCAGCACTCAGGAGACAGAGTCAGGTGGATCCCTGAGTTCAAGACCAGCCTGGTCTACAGGGCAAGTTTCCAGGGGACCAGGGTTACACAGAGAAACCTTGTCTCCAAAAGCCAAAAATGAATAGAATAAAATAAAATAGCCATCACTGACAGACAGAATCTCGCTGTGGAGCACAGGCTGGCCTGGAACTCGCTATGTAGAACAATCTGGACTTAAACTCAGGAGATCTCTCTACCTGTCCCTGCCTCCAGAGTACTTCTGGAATGTGTGCACACCCACACTTGACTCAGAGTATTTTTTAAATGCCTCCAGAAGTCACATAGCAAAACCTTTGTCCTGGGACAAACTGATGGTTCAGGACCCCTGATCAGCAATGGGGGAGGTCATGCCTTTGTGGGGAAAAAAAAAA